TGTGGCCATGATTTTTCCGGCGGATGGAGTGACTTTAAATTTTTTAGAGGGTCTGCACTCTTCCTATGCCACTGCATAGACTCTTGCTTACTTTCAGGGTCATAGTGATGAACCCAAGTTTCATCTCCAGTAACAATACGATCCAAAATGCTTGTTGAATTTTCCCCACAAAGCTTAAAAAACTCTACTGCACTCCACTCTCACTTGTTTTTGGTGTGATGTGAGCATTCGCGGTACCCACCTTGCACTCACTTTTGAGAGATTAAGATGATCATGAAGAATAGTGTGTATAGTACCAACGGATAGGTTAGTTCTCTCTGCTAATAACTTTAACCTTTATTCGGGCGTCCTCCAGTACAACGACCTCAACTTCTTCCACATTTTCTTGTGTAGCGGCAGTAACGGGGCCGCCTGAGCGAGGGTCATCTTCAATACTCTCCCTGCCCCTTTTAAATTCACTTTACCACGTTTGAATCGTAGATAATGAAGGTGGAAAATCGTGATAAACAGCCACCATTTCTTCGAAAATAGTTTTTTGACTTTTTCCTTATTTTGAGAGGAATTTAATCACAGCGCGGTGTTCGATTTTCTTCAACTTCAACGACCGTAACTATGTGAAATTTTGTATTTGTAACATGAAGTAATGTAACTATTTATTGCAATTATTAAATTACCAACATCACTAGGAAATAACACCGATACCGAGAATACATTGAACGTCCCTCGTATGTATATTTAATACCCAGAAATGTGATATATCTTTAGGCTATTAGGTTAAGCGTTTAGAATTCGCAAGCTTTGTATATCAGGTTTTAACAACCTGCCAAATACTCACTAAAATATTTATTATCTTTTTTACCTCCCAAATTTGTGATTAGAGCAGTGCACGTAAATCTGATATGCCGATATAACTAAACATATGTACATATCTGTGGTCATATGGAAGAGTAGCTTAAGTCGACTTAAGCGAGAAATGAGATACCGTATTGAAATCGTTCTATACACTAAGGCGCATAAATGTGTGAAGTCCGTTTTGAAAAATTATGTATTGCAGTGAAGTTATTCGAGTTTACTTTTTAGCTTAAGTATATTAAAAAAAAATTGCATTAGTTAAAATAACTTTATATGCACATATCTATATTTATATATTCTGATCTGGTAATCATCATTTAACTAAATAACTTAAATTGATATGAGTTTTTTGTCATGCCCACCTTTAAAAGAAATATTTTGTTTTTCGAACATCTTATGTTAAAATTAGTTTTTTTAATAAAATTAAATTCTTTCATGCAATTACCTTACGTGCATATAAGCTGTTATAGTGAAATGTAATCAGATTGAAAAAAAATTAAAAATATTGCTAATGAGCTTATTTCTGTATAAGCGATTCTACTGAAATGAAGCTGCAAATTAACGCTACCGTATCTCGCTTTAAGTTTTTTTTTTTAGTGAATTTTTGCTGATGTTTTCCACATAAGTGTTAGTTGCTGAAAATGAACTACTTATTTACATATAACTCATGCATTTTGTACTAAAAACCACAACTGTATTATACACTTTTAAAAATGTAATCACAGTTTCTGAGAACAATTGCCAAATTTAATTTTTTTTACTCGCATTAAAAACTCTGTTGGAACAATTTTTGCGCATTAATTCATAAAATGTGCGAAATGGAATATTCGGAAGATTTTAATGTTTTCGGCGACGATGATTCTGTTCTGGATCTTGATTATAAATGTAGTGACATTGAAGAGAGTAGTACAGATTCAGAAGAAGGAAATTGTAATGTAAGTACACATGTAACAATTCATTTTTGCAGGAAATAAATCCAACAATGCTCTTAAATTTTAGGAAAGTAATTCGCGAACAGAAGCAAACAGCAGTAATCGTGCTATATCCAAATCTGTGCAGCAGAGACTACGTAATGAAGGCAAAACGTACACAAAATTGTTCCTTCTCGCTCCCTTAGTGATTTGCAATCCTGCAGAAATAAATGCAAAGATAAATTATTACCGGTAGAGCGACAAGAAATACATAAACAGTATTGGCAGATGGGGTCGTACCAATTGCGGCTGGCTTTTGTGGCTGGATTAATTGATATTAATTTAACCAAAACTGTGCGCAGAGATAAAAGTGTTACTAATCCAAGGAACAGGCCTAATTCATACAAATATCTTTTAATATCACATGGGGAACGAGTTTTAGTGTGTCAACGCTGTTTTAAAACGGTTTTATCGGAAACCGATCAATTCATAAAAACTGTAATAAGAAAAGAAAATAGAAGGCCGTAGCTGTTTTGGCAAGTGGGATCTTCGTGGAAAAACCCCAAACAAAAAAACTATATCTACAGAGAAAGAAACAGAAGTGGTTAATTTTATAAATAGGTTCCCTTTATATGAATCTCACTATACTCGTCGTGACACTTCCCGAAAATACTTACCCAGTGATCTTTCAATTTCTGCGCTTTACAGGCTTTATTGCGAAGACAATGATCATACCGTCTCACTATCGAAATTTACTAATATTTTTCAAACACAAAACATAAAATTCAAAGAACCAAAATTAGACACTTGCCATAAATGTGATGTGTTGAGCGCCAAAATAGCCACTTCTCAAGCAGATATGCTCTTAAACGTGAGCAAACAGATCATCATCAACAAGCGGAAGATGCTTATGAATTGAAAAAAAGTGATAAGAAAAAAGCTATTGATCATGTAAATTTAAAAGTATTCTGTTTCGATTTGCAGCAATGTCTTCCCACTCCACTATTGCGATCGTCGCTTTCATTTTATAAAAGGCCATTATGGACATTCAATTTAACTGTCCATGACTGTGCTACAGATCAACCGTTTTGCTATATGTGGCACGAGGCGTTAGCAAAACGCGGAGGTAACGAAATCGCGTCATGTTTATTTAAAGTATTAAAAGGCCTTCAACCCTCTATAAGTCAGGTTATTTTTTATAGTGACTGCTGCCGGGGCCAAAATAAAAATTCTTTTGTTGCCACAATGTTTGCCATATATATTCACTGCTCCGAACAACATTAAACGTAATTGATCATAAGTTTTTGGTCCCTGGCCACACGCATATGGAATGCGACAGTGATCATGCTCTCATAGAAAGGAAAAAGAAGAACACATCAATTAAAATCCATCATCCAAGAGACTGGTATCAATTTATTAGAACTGTTGGAGTAAAAAAAAATTTATTGTGAATGAGATGAGTAGAAACCAGTTCATTGATTTTGCGAGTGCTGCTAAAGATTGCTTCTTATGGAGAAAAGTGGATGGAGATGGGCAGAAATATAGCTGGGCTGACATAAAGTGGTTGCGCTTTACCAAAGGTTTTGGAACAGTTCATTTTAAAACTTCCCTAAATTAAAATGCGCCATTCAGAAAAATTAACTTAAGAAAAAAGGGAATCAATTCTATAAAAATTAATAATATCACCTATAAGCATCAATTCTAAGAAGAAACAGGACTTGATTGACATGTTACCACTGATTGACGAAAATTACAAAGATTTTTACTTAAATTTAAGAACTCAAGAAATGTTGGACTTTCACCCAGACTTAACTGAATATGATGAAGTGTTTGAATAATTATATACATACCTTAAAAACATTTATGATCTATAAGGCTTATGTTTCGCATCATTTTATATGAGCTTAAATGAAATTACTTGAATATTAACATATATTTCTATTTATTTAAATAGCATTCATTTAATTAATTAAATACATTCATGAATTAAAGTATTTTTTCCTTATATGTTTTGATATTTGTAAATGCGTTTCAATAAAACAACTTATGTTAATTTAACACTGTTCAATTCACGGTATTTATTTCAATATAATCGCTTAAGTTACTTAAGATTCACTAAATTGCAAAGTTCAGTTTAGAAAAAGCGCTTAAGTAAAAAAAGCTTCATAGGGAATAGGTTTTACAGATTTTTTTTAAAACTATTATCCAGGCTTTCAACTGACATTAATAATAATGCTTTCACCTACAAATTATTTACTGGAACAAGCTAGCTTAAAAATTCGATAAAATTACGAATATCTCCACACTGTGATATTCGACATAAGCTACTTTTCCATATGAACACAGATATGTATGTACACACATATGGACGTCTCTTGACGAGCTTGTCTACAGCATGGTACCTCAAGTATGTATAAACATGATAGCCACAATTTTCCGGCGA